GTTTTTTCTTACAACTTAAAGATAATCTACCACTGCCTTCTAGTTTCCATTGAGAAGTCTACTTTCAGTTTTGCCTTTAAGATGTTCTCTTTGTCTTTCAAGTTTCATCAGAATGTTTCTAATTGTTCAAAATATTTCCAGTCCTGATTTTGATAAACTGTGCTTCCCGTATGCATAGATGGTTGTCTTCCAATTGGATTTGAAAAATTTCAGGATCTTTTCAGATATTGCCTCTCCTCATTCATTTTGTTCTCTTTCAAAAGCAAGAGTATTGGTATATGTTAGACCTTCAATGCCCTCTTTCTTCTTCTAAAAACATTCTTGTCTGTCTGTCTCTGTCTTTGTTGCTTTCTGGGTTACTACTTCTATCTTTTAATTTACCAGTTCTCTCTTTTAATGTGTCCAATCTGGTCTGTACCTAATTGGTTGAATTTTTAATTTCCACATTTATAATTTTTCATTTCTAAAAGTTCTGATTTTAAAATTTGCCCAGTTATTCTGATAGTAACATATTTCTTCATTTTTATTCCAATTTTTTTGTTTTAATGTTTTCTTTGTGCTGTGTGTACTTTAAATTTTATATTTGATCACTCCAATACATAAAGTCTTAGGAAGTGATGGTATAAATTTGTTTCAGCTGACTCAAGCTCAGTGTTTTGCTTTGTTATGTATGATTTTTATTGCAAGTTCTTGTTTTATTGAATGTATTATTGCCAAATCCTGGTATAGCATAAATTGGAAATGCATTCCTCTTGAGAGGACTTGAGTATTTTTCTGCTGGGATCCAGGGGTACTGTCAACCTGAAGCTACTTTATTCCCCATCCAGGGTCTTAGGTTTAGCAGGGATATCTCAGGTTCAGCTCTTTGATCTTAACTATTGTTGATATTTGCCTTCTGAGCAACACTGCATTTTGTGTGTAACGTGGGCCACTCTTCTTTTCAGTTCAGTTTTTAATTTTTTTGTCTTTTTTCTTTTGGGGAGGTGGTCCATGGAAATTTCCCTTGCTTTTAGAAAGTCAACCATATGTTAACAAGGGTTTTTTGTTTTTGTAATTTATGGAGTATCTATCATATTTTAGCACAGGAGACTTTTCAGAATATCTAGTCTGCCATACAGTTGGAAGTAGAAATTAATAAGATTAAATATGCAAAGTGCCAGTCTAGATACTTTGTAAGTATTAATTTCCTTCAGCTTTACTATGGTTTGCCTACCTTTGTAGAAGCATGCTTTGTGTTACATTTTTGGTTATTGTTTGTGGACAATCTTGGTCTTTTCTGATTTAAATTTTAATAAATACTGTATAATTTTAAACTTTTATATTTTGTTAATCATTTCATAAAAAGTATTTGTTTCTATTTTCTGTGATTGAAAGAATTCATGAGAAACTTGAAATTTTTTTGTTGTGTATGCTGTGACTTTGTAGAATGTTTTGTAGAAGATTGAATGTAGGTGGAATTTATGCTCTGTAGAGATCCAAAGGAATTCCACTAATTTCTTTTGCTTCATAGTTAACGTATTTGATGTATTTAGAGCAGTGGTTCTCAACTAGAGGGATTTTGCTTCCCAGGGGAGATTTGGCAATGTCCTTTTCCATTGCCCTTGCTGGATGGAGTGCTACCGGTACCTAGTGGGTAGAGGCTGTGGATGCTGCCCTACATCCCACAATCCACAGGACAGCCCCCTCACAATAGTTATCTCACCCACAATGTCAGTAGTGCCAAGGTTGAGAAACCCTGCTTTAGAGAAATGGGGTAAATATAAGGTTGATGTTGTTGGTAGGTGTATCTTGAAGGAAAGGTTTTCTAGGTTTTTTTAAACTGAAAGAAAGCCTAAAAAATAAAAACTATTCTCTCCCTCCCTTATTATTTTTTGTGCTCTGAATCTTCAGCACAGACATGCACATCCATTAAGTCAGGACTAAAAGTCCAAATTTTCTGACCAGTACTTGTCATTTGGACTTTCCATTATTTCTTGCTATGGTTTTTCTTTTAGACTAATACAGATTCATTGTGGGAAGCGTGGAGAGAATAGAAAACTACCCCCACTGAATCCCATCACCCATATGCAAGGACTGTTAACCTTTTAAGGTATTTGGCTTGTTTGGTTTTTTTTGGGCCGATTTTTTTTTGTAGTTCTGAGACTATGGTATTATGTTCATCTTAAAATATTAAAACATAAGTATGCCTAATGTTACACAGTTGTATTGTTTATTGAACCACTTGCCTTTTGATATTGAAGTGTTTCTGATGTTTTCCTATTATGAATAATGTTTGATGAACATCTTACACGTAATTAGTTAGCTGTGTTTCAGATTCCTTCTTTAGAATAGATTACTAAAAGGGTTATTACTTAGTCAAAAGGCTTGACTAGGTTTTTTGATACAAATTGGTGGCTTTATCCTCCCATCAGTGTACGAGACTATCCATTTTCACTGCAGACTCATCAGTCTGCACTCTTAAGAGGTCGATAAATTCAGTCTTCAATTTTTTTTTTTTTTACCAAACTCTAAACATGTAAAATTCATGTACAAAGCTTTTGCAGGATAAAAAAGGAAAGATCTTTTTATATTCTTGAATTGAGAATATAGTTAATCTGCCTGAGTAAATGGAATTTATAAGAATAATATGAGAACACAGCATAGATGTAAAATTTCCTTGGAGCGAGTTAGTTAATGAGGCCTTGTAAAATTGTGTCTACGCATTTTGTAAATTGAATCCCATCTTAAGTGCACCGAGAAAGCTCCTTTAAATAACTCCTATGGTAACTGTCCTTGTTAAGGGAGAAAAAAATGTCTTTTTATAGTTTGGTTATTAATACATTCTGGTTGTATTTGTTCCATAAGTTCAAAATTTTGTTCACTTATCTAAGTAATACGAATACCTTCTTTATGTGTAAATGGGCCCTGTGATGTGGTAGGACCTTGAGGTGTATAAGTGAATAAGCTATACATGGTAACTGCTTTTGTGAGATTATCTCTGTATAATATAAAAAGAGTCAGGGTTTTCTTCATTTAATGATTTGAGAAGTATAGGGGTGTAATTCTTTGCTCCAAAGTTTCTTATTCAAAACGTACACCTTTGCAAAAGTGTTTGGCATTTCCTCATTAGAAAATTACTCCTTTGCCTTTTCTTTTTTAAGAAAAGATACTATAAGGAAGGTGGAAAGGTAAAGGGATTTGCTGGAACAAGGGGGCAGTCTTAGGGAATAAAGAGAAGCAAAGTTGTGAAGTGAGAGGGAGGGAACAGAGCAGTTTGAGAGAACAAAAAGTAAAATTCTTTCTTAAATTGTTTTGGAACAAGGTAAGGTAATAAATACATATCATGCTAGTAAGCTTTCCTGAAAAAGGTGAACTTATTCTTACTTTCATAATATGGATGAATTGGAAAACAAAGTGTCATACTTTAAATGAATAATGATTTCCCAAAATTTTCACTTTTGGAAATTTAGAAGATACCTTTAAAGTCGTAATTTGTGATTGCAAATTTACTTGAAAGTAATTTGTACTGTAATTGTTTCTTCAAAGTGAGGTTTGAAAGTTTTACCAGGATGAAATTGCTGTGTTCAATTTCTCTAATTGTGCAGTCTTTATTTCTGTATTTTATGACTTAACCAAGAGCTAAGAAGATGATAATTTATTAGTTTAAAATTCGAACAAAGCAAAAGAAAGCAGTAGTAAAACCCAATTTAACTTTTCTCCACTTTGAAATCTAAAACAGTTAAAAGTACAACATGCCCTAATTCAGAGCATTATCTGAAAGGTGTGCCATCTATCTGTGACAGTTCAAAGGGAGAGAAAGAAGCTGCAGGATATGAAAATTGAACTTGTTAATTTTGAATTCTCCCTTATTATTTGACTTACAGTGTTGTGAATTTCTAGAACTATCCATACTTAATTATTCAAAAATGTTTCTGGGATTTTTTTAAAGACATTGGTTCACTTATTATTTTAACATCATTGTTTTAAATCTCTGAATTAGCATGGACAATTGCAAGATGACTATGAAAAATTCTGTAAAATTATTAATAATCTGCTCTAGAACCTGGATTCCAAATGAGTCCTTTACCAGAGGACATGACTCCAAAGTAATTTTACCAAACTTTTTGTATGGATTTCTTGTTATTTTGCATAGATTATTTAACCGGTATTCTTGTGGGTGGAGTAGGTCACTTGGTGATAGTTGGACAAAATGTAAATAGTTCTTATTTTCTCTTGAGTGCATCGTGTCTCTGCAGTTTTTTCATGTGCATGGTAAAACATCCTGAAGAAAGTTAGAGATGAAGTCCTTTTAAGGCCAATTAATTACACAGAAAAGACTTCCAAGATTGTAAAGGCCTTTAAAGGTCATTTAATCATGTATCCAGGTATTTCTTGAATGCTTTCATGTCCCTTGTTGTTTCCTCTTGAACACTTACTATCTCCTGAGGTGATTGAAATTTTTTAAAAATAAATCCTTATTTGAATTGATGGAGAGATAGGACTTTATTCTTACTGGTTAGTAATTTCAAGTATCCTTGGGTTAGTTTTCAATTTTCTACGTCAGCCTCAAACTTAAAAGGTGGTAGCTATTTGATTAGAGTATTTGTATAGCACCAAACTTCACACATAATTGTAACTTTCTTAGGAAACAGAAAATATTTAAATAATTAATTTTTTGAATTCTTTACCATAGAGCTCTTCACACATACAGTCATCATCTTCCATTAGAAACACAGTAAAGCAATATTTTTATTTCCTAGAAGCTCATGTATCACAGGTGCAATGTATTCCTAACTAGGTAGTTACTTGAATTTATCTTTAAATATTTAGTGTGAGTCCGACCAAACTTACCTTGATACATCTATTATGAGATTAAGAATTTAAAATAATTTTTATATACTTTATGGAAAGAAAACACTGTTCCAGGTTTAAATGAACTAGTTAAAAATGTTTTGCATTGATGTGTAATTTTTAAGATAAAGTGTGTAATAGTAAATTTGTAAAATAATTTTATCTTTTAGGCGAGGTTTAAATCCACCACACAGGGTGAAATCTATCTCCATGACAACATTCACACAACAGGAAATTGAATTCCTGCAAAAGCATGGAAATGAAGTAAGTGTTTTTTTAAATTTTCAGCTTTTTGTTGACAGTAATTTAATAAGTTCTTTAGAATGGTGAATTTCACTGTCTAAAAAAAGTTATTTTTGTGTTCTAAATTTAGATATTTTAGAATGTACTCATTTAACAACATACTTAGTGTTAGTATCTACTACGTAAGTACTTATCCTTAGACTGTGCTGTGAAACATGTGTTTAAAATTCATTAGTGTTGAATATAAAGGCATTTTTGGAGGACATATCCAGTATTGGAGTAAGTATAAGTCTTTGCTTTAAAAGACCAAACAGAAGGAAGAAAGAATTAACTTTTGTACTAGGATAAACTTTTGTTAGGCTGTAGTGTGATCAGCTTTCACTTGAGGTCCCTTCCTTCCTTCATTTTTAATGTTGGATGTATGGTGTTTAATGTTGAGCTGGTGCTCAGTAGAGAGGAGTTCAGTAGTTCTGAGGGGCAGTCTAGCATCAAGGGGATCCCAAGTAGTAGTTTTCAATTTTCTACGTCAGCCTCAAACTTAAAAGGTGGTAGCTATTTGATTAGAGTATTTGTATAGCACCAAACTTCACACATAATTGTAACTTTCTTAGGAAACAGAAAATATTTAAATAATTAATTTTTTGAATTCTTTACCATAGAGCTCTTCACACATACAGTCATCTTCTTCCATTAGAAACACAGTAAAGCAATATTTTTATTTCCTAGAAGCTCATGTATCACAGGTGCAATGTATTCCTAACTAGGTAGTTACTTGAATTTATCTTTAAATATTTAGTGTGAGTCCGACCAAACTTACCTTGATACATCTATTATGAGATTAAGAATTTAAAATAATTTTTATATACTTTATGGAAAGAAAACACTGTTCCAGGTTTAAATGAACTAGTTAAAAATGTTTTGCATTGATGTGTAATTTTTAAGATAAAGTGTGTAATAGTAAATTTGTAAAATAATTTTATCTTTTAGGCGAGGTTTAAATCCACCACACAGGGTGAAATCTATCTCCATGACAACATTCACACAACAGGAAATTGAATTCCTGCAAAAGCATGGAAATGAAGTAAGTGTTTTTTTAAATTTTCAGCTTTTTGTTGACAGTAATTTAATAAGTTCTTTAGAATGGTGAATTTCACTGTCTAAAAAAAGTTATTTTTGTGTTCTAAATTTAGATATTTTAGAATGTACTCATTTAACAACATACTTAGTGTTAGTATCTACTACGTAAGTACTTATCCTTAGACTGTGCTGTGAAACATGTGTTTAAAATTCATTAGTGTTGAATATAAAGGCATTTTTGGAGGACATATCCAGTATTGGAGTAAGTATAAGTCTTTGCTTTAAAAGACCAAACAGAAGGAAGAAAGAATTAACTTTTGTACTAGGATAAACTTTTGTTAGGCTGTAGTGTGATCAGCTTTCACTTGAGGTCCCTTCCTTCCTTCATTTTTAATGTTGGATGTATGGTGTTTAATGTTGAGCTGGTGCTCAGTAGAGAGGAGTTCAGTAGTTCTGAGGGGCAGTCTAGCATCAAGGGGATCCCAAGTAGTAGAGAGGAGTCTTTTCCTCTGTTCTGCTTTAATGGGCTTCCATAATTCCTTTCTATTTGTTTGCTTCCACGTTTTGTATTGGTAAAAGTGGTGGTCTAATATTTTTAAAATTACAAAATTAACAAAGAAAATGGGTGTGTTTTATAATCTTGGGGTAAGGATGAAGCACTTATCCCAACTGATTCTTAGTAGCCATTATTATTTCACAAGCAAGTTTTGTTGCTTCTCATAAAGGAAATGCTACTTTAGTTGTACTTAACCCTTTTGGCATATTTTTGATATGAGACAGAAAAGAAATTATTCTTAAGATTCTACTAATTTTAATCTAAAATTACTTAAGATTTAATCTAAAAATACTTAACCTAAAATTACTTAAGATTAAATCTAAAAATACAGGTCTAGAGCCCAGAGGGGATGGGATTACCAAATTGCAGGGCGAAGGGCATGGACACAATATTGCGTAGGCACAATATTGTACAACAGATCTCTAGAATTTACTCATCTTGCATTACTAAACTTTATACCCGTTGAATAGCAACTCCCCATTTCCCCCTCCCAACACCTGGCAACTCCCTTTCTGTGTTCTGCTTCTAAGAGTTGCACTATTTTAGATACCTTACGTAAGTGGTATCATACAGTATTTGTCTTTTCTGTGACTGATTTATTTCACTTAATGTCTTCAAGGTTCATCCATGTTATTGCATATGTCAGGATTTCTGAAGGAATAGTTTTTAAGACTATAACCTCAAAATAAATTTAGAATATATAGAAAGAGGTACTTGATTTTAGGCAACTTATTAAATCAAAAAGAAATAAAATATGAACATTAGAGTTGACTGGAATGGGCTCATGACTCTTAAATCCTGAAAGAGACATGCCAGTTGATAGGCCATTTAAAGCAGTCATTGGGACATTGTCTGTGTGAGGAGCGGTGGGTGTCGTTATGGATGGGTGCATAGGCTTAGCTAACAGCTCACGGTTCAGTTGAGGGGGACAGATTTGCAACAAATAATTACAATAATGTTAAATAATGGTAAGAATCAAAAGTTTCAAAAGTAATATGGAAGATGGACTCAATCTGTCAGTGAAAAAGAGAGGATTGAGAAGATCTCACAGAGGAGGTAGAATATTTGCTGATCTTTGAGACCAATGGTGACTTAAACTGGCAGGAAAAGATGGAAGGCAGAGTGGACAGTGCACAAAGGAAGAAGAAGTGCTGTGGTTCTTAGTGCTAGAAATTACACCAGCCTTTCAAATACTTGTTCAGGAAGACAAACATGCTTATGTCCCTAAGGATATTTTAGAATGAAAATATTGGACCTCGTGTATTTGATTCTTTACAGTGTTAGCATTATCTGGTTTCTTAAAAACTTAAGAGATATAAAGAAGATGAGGATTGATACTATAACTTGCAGGAAGTTGGTACGACCTCATGAAAAAAACTAGACTTCAAGTGCAAGTGCTTTATAATAAAGTTTATTTTATTTAAACATTTAAATCTAAAGTATAATATGCAGAGAGAAAAGTACACTGATCTTAGTTCTTAATTTCAAACACGACGCTACAGTTCGACCATGTGCCATCTTTCAGTTAGTTCGGAAAGGATCAAACTCAGTCAAATAAGTTTTGGATTACAAAGGCTCTGTCATGTATCTTGTGCAAGAGCGGGTTCATGCCTGCAAATGAGTGTTTCAGAAGTGAAAAAATCAGAAAGTATGTTTACTAGTAGCAGTCTTGGATCTTCTGCTCCTAAAGGGGAGTTGTAGTTTTCTGAGGGGCACATTTGGTTGTCATGACGGGGGGGTGTTGCTGGCTGAAGCAGGTGAGTGCAGTTGTTGCTGGGTGACTCTCAATGTGTTGAACAGAATTAATCTACATTCCACATGCTTTGGAATGTTCTCTAGACATTTATATGTGGGAAAAACCTGTTCACAGTCATCTGTGTGTATGACTTAAATCTGTTTTACATGCGTGCTACGGTTGTGAACAACTTACTGCTGGAGAATGTCATGCTGCCAAGTCCAGAACCCAGAGGGGAGGGGATTCCCAAGTTGCAGGGCGAAGGGCATGGACATAGAGAAGCCACTGAGACCATCAGTGCAGTGGCTTAGCACATATGTATGTCTAATAAAGATCTCACTTTTCATTCACAACAGAACTATATTAAGCATTGTTCACTGTTTTGGAAAATGATAAAACTAGTGGCAGCACCACTCATGGCATTTGAGTCCTTAATGAAGTACATCTGAGTTGGTCTGTGTTGGTAGCTGTGGTAAGCAAATAATGTTACTGTTCGTAAATATGTATTAAGGACACACACTGTATATAACAGTGTATTATTAGTTTCTACAAATATGGTTTATAAATTATCTGAATATTACTTTAGTATTCTCAGACTACTACTACAGTGTGTTCAGTGGACAGATATGCACATTATTAGGTTATAGAACAGTATGCCCGGTGTTGATACAATATTTTGCAACAAAGCACTTTGTATTTATTATTTGCCAAAATGGCTTTAACATTTTTTCCAAAAGTGAAGTATTTCACAAAAATTTTCCCCATATTTATGTTGTAATACTTTCTTTTGTACCATGATGTTACTTGAAAAATCTTTAGTAGTTTCCTATTTTATGTCCTCTTTTGTGAAATTGTGGGTATAGAGCATGGTCTTCTAGTTAAAGGAATTTCAAAATTGAATTAACTTTGATTAGCAAAGTTAATGGAAGGAGGGCTGGCAAACAGTACAATAGATGATCCAATAAAAAAGAAAATGTGGAAGTAATATCATTTTGAAACGTAGCTTTTCTTTTCTAGTAGCAAATTGACCATTTAAATTGTTTTAGGACTGAGAGTAAAAGGGGTATTACTGATACTCTGCAGGTGTACAGTCTGCATGTAGAGATAAAATCATGCATTGATTGACAGTATTTGATTATCTTTATGCTGGATTATAAAGATAATCCCCAAAATAGAAGCTAATGCTTTTTAAAAATCCTTCTAAAATGGTCGGCCCGTAAAGTAAAGTGCACTTTTCCCTGTTACCATTCACGATTCATTTTTCATTCTTGAAGCAGTCATCTCCTGTGTGCCAGGACTGTCCTTGGGTCGGAACGGTACAGTGATGAGCAGAAGCAGATGTAATAGCTGCCCTCATGTGAAGCTTACAGTCAAGTTGGGGAGAGAGAGACAGCAGGAATTACTTTTTGTCAATTCTGTTTTAGTATGGGAGTGAGAAAGGGCTTCAGTTTGGAGTTGCAGATGGGAGTTTGGGAACAGAGTGTTTTTCCAGAAGGTATACTTAACAGTTACGTAGGTCTTATTTTATGAGACAGCTGTTCAGGTCTTTTGGGCACTTAAATTGCATCTTGGGGAAAGGTTGGAGGTATTTTATAATCAGAAACTAGCACTACCACAAAAAAAATTACTTTTGTTTCTAAAATAAATTTAAAA